CAGGCCTGGGTGGGGTGCTGGCGGGTCTTTGTGGTGGGTGAGGAGTGGGGCAGGGGACTGGTTCTGGGACTTTGCACACATGGGAACCCTAATTCCTATGCAGGAATTTCCTCCCCCTAATTCCTTGCAGGCCCTACCTGTGCTCAGAGATGGGCATCAACAGCACCTCCTCCAAGAAGTTGTCCTTGATGTACCCCCACTCCTCTCGGCCACCAACCAGAGAGTCCTCTACTTCTCTGTTATCAAAGTCTCCTATGAAACATAGGATGCAGGGAATGGAGCCCAGGGGTGTTTGTGATTCCCACTCGCCTCCCCTGCCCCACAGGAAGTGCTGCAGGTGCTCACCTTCTTTTTCTGGGTGTTGATCTCACTGCCCTGGAAGGCAGACAGCCCAAGTCCACAAGAAAGAGCCCCCTAGCCATAACTAGCCCCTGTACCCACCCCTTGTAGTGTTACACCAGGGCCAGGTCCCAGGACGGGCACGACACACACAGAAGACAGATTTGCTCTTAGGCCAGGCTCTGGTCCCCAGAGAAGGGGGGCATGAATCCCTAAGGTGGGCCATGACTTGTTCTTACAGTGGTCCCCATGAGCACCCTAGGATCTTTCTCCTATACCACCGCAGTTTTCAGAGTAAGAAACTGAGGCCAACAAGAGAGATGGGGTGACACCTGCAAGACACACAGCTGGCAGTGGGCAGAGACAGCACTGTGCCAAAGACAGGGTGGGTGCTCACCTAGGAAGCAACTGGTCCAGCACCTGTTGTGCCATGGAGAAGGCTGGGTGGAGGACCGTGAAGGTGGAGATGTGGGAGATGTTCCCCCCCAGGAGGGCTTGTATCGTGGACTCTCCCTTGTCTTTCAGTGTGCCTTGCTGGAGGGCCCGCATCCTGCAGGCCTCACTGAGGTTCAGTGTGAACTCTGCTTCATGCTGGGTGGGACAAGGAGGGACGTCCAGTCAGCGGCATCACCATGAATCGCCAGAAGGGCTGTGGTCCAGAGCTCACCCGGGAACTCCCAGCCCTTCAGGGACGTGTGCAAGAGGAGGGATAGGCGTGCCCACGCTGAACAAGTCTCTGGGTTCTGAAAGTACCATTTAGGTTCGGTGGGGGGGGGGATTGTTTCTACAGTTGTTACTTTCCCACCATATTTCAGCTGAGGAACACTCGACCTCCGTGTATTAACAGGCTGTGGTAAGAGCATTGCCCCAATGTGTCCTCAAGAAACATCCCCGTTAAAGAGATGAGAACACACAGGCTTAGCGATGTGAAATGGCTGCTCAGAGTCATCCAGGTCACACCTGACAACTGTCCAAAGCTAGAGCGACCTAGCATGTTGTCTTCACTCTCTGACACTTATCCTCCCGCTCCTGACAGGGGGAACCCAGCCCTCCCGAATTTGGAGACAGTGTATGGGATAGACCCAGCTTATGAAAACCCTTGACTTCGAAAACGACACTGATTTTTTTCTTTAACATTCAAAGGCGTTTTGAGACCCTTTGTAGTGTACATAGGTCCCTGATTCAGCAAAGTGGCCACTGCCTGGAGAGTCCAGACTGGGGAAAGCCGAGCCCCAGGCAGGAATGTGAGCAGACTATTCGAGAGGGAGCAAATCCACGTGGCTGGGGAAAAGTGACAAGTGACTCAAAGTCCTCACAAGACTATTGCAGGTGAAGGGACAATGCGATGGCCTTGGACAGGCTGACATCAGAAGAATCAAAATTTATAAGAATGAGAAATCCCCAGGGCCGGCCGAGTGGCGCGATGGTTAAGAACTTGCTTGGGATGCCAGAGGGCCCCGGTTCGGATCCCACATATGAGGGCCAGTGACACTGCCCTCCACAGCTAAGATGCT